GGGGGGGGGGGGGGTTAGCGTTGCTAGGGAATGTAAATTTTTTGAAATTATTATTGTTATTTTTAATTGTTACGAGAAACACAGTCGAACTTTCGGGCTCGGCGGGTTACTTATCGGGTGACGGTTTTTTTTTTTTTATTTTCTCCTCTCAATGAATCCTAAGCATGTTACGCAACTCAGGTTAATAATTGGGACTACTCGCAACATGCGAATCTTTAGTCACTGAGCGCCCGTACTTTCTCGCGGATCGCGTTAACCTAATTTTTTAAGGCGGCTACTACGTTAGCGAAAATTAAAGTCCCTTTGCGATCGACATATTTCTCTGGTGGTACTGTAACAGCTGATCGGTGAAATGCTGCCGGTACGGCGGATCGTAATGGGTTTGACATTTTTCCATGAAAATACGTCATTCGGTATGACGTAGCACGCCTTTCAGAAATTTCAGTATCATCGGCCGTCCACTTAGAGAGATATATGTAATTGAAATAGTCAAAACTGCAATATATAGATATACCCTCGTATGTTAAAATAGGTACATAACTCTTTTCTGAGATATCTCAGCTTCTAGATGGTGAAAGTGGATGAAATTGTTAGAAAACACTTGCTCTTACGTCGAGCATGACTTGGATGATTTTTTTTTAATGAAAAATTGTTGAAATTTTTTATTTAATTTCTTTTTAACTACGTCGTTTGAACATTGTCATGTGAAAATCAAAAAAATTTTCGAGCTCTGTCCATCCGCTTTTCTCGATGAAAATACCTTGGGTAGGAAATATTTTTTTTAATAGACGATATACAGGGTATTCACCGAAATAAGGATAATTTTATTGTGATGGTCCTTTATGGCCTTCTTAATCTGTTATCTTGGGCTACCTCGTACGAGTGTATATTGCCTTGTATCGTTATCATTATGCATCGCTACCTGAAACCTCTTTGTAACTTCGTAATCGGATTAATCTGTGATCATCAGTGGAAAATTTATATAACGGGAGTAGTTTAATTTAAAAAATTTTATTTTATTATCCGACCGAAAAAAAAATTATGCTTGGTTGCATTTATCGTCTGCTTCAATTGGATGGGGTTTATTATTTTATCGCAACATTGTTTTCATGGGATTCAATTGCGAATTTCGTTTAAATTTAGCATGGAAAATTTATCGTCTGACCTATTTATAAGGTTACCGGTTTTCACGGTTTTCAGGATTTTTTTTTTTTTTTTTTTGTTAAACGAATTTTGCCCCACAATGCGTTTTTTAACACCGAGGAGGTCTAATAGCCTTGGTTAACGGAAAGAAAAAAAATATTGATAATTTTTTAAATAAATTTTTGTACCCAAAACAGAGAATGCAGTTTATAATCGTTAGAGAATTACTTGAAGACTTATCGTCTATCAGTTTCATATCTGTAATTGCAATCGTCGATAGGCATTGTAAATATCGGATTTTGATATCGAATTATTTTCATGGAGCTATCCACGTAGTCGTTTCGGTATTCTTGAACGCTTTGTATCATATTGAAAAGAAAAATCTTAACTTCGCTTACAGTTACGTATTTTATTACGGACTCGTGGGCATTGCGTAACGTAATGATTAAATTTTAAATGATGACCTGTACGTTCAAACCTTATCGCACGGTCGTCAACCGTTAAAACTCTCACTGCTTATGATATTTTGCTATTCGATAACAATTATTCGCTTTACCGTCAGTTAATAATTACTAAGCGATTGTATATGTGATCATCGGCGAATTCAACTTTGAAAATTATCTACATGTATAATATGACATAAGTCAGAATTGTATGACGTTTTTTTCTGTCTTATTCAATCGCGCTCTATTATCGACAAACGCGATCACGATTATGAATCGGTATATCGATACCTATACGTTGATTGTAAAAATGGTTATTCGAAAAATGAAAATATATTTTTTTATTTCAAAATTGAAAACCAACTTTTCATGATTTGTTTGGAGAATGTACATAAAAATTGTGCAAATTTTTTTTTTTTCAAAGTTTTATTCGAAATTTTATCAATCCGCTTATTTTTGAACGAACCTGTACGCATCACGTCCCGAGGTATCTTGTCGCGATAATTAATCTACCACAGCCTTCGATGATTGCTCCTATTTCATAGCTGTTATTGAGCATGATCTCAAAGCATTGTTATCTACTTCCGTCTATTTCACTTGCAACCCTCACCGGCCACGGGAACGACATAGCGCCTTCGGCAGGAAATACGTCTGGCTTCCCCCTTCGGTAGCTAGATCCATCTCCAATTCCCCGGTTCCATCGCTGCCACAATACGACTCCATCCAATTGGATTTTCTTAAATCCTAAAACATTCCGGGGAAAACAATTACTTCGGGACACGGTCGCTCTAAGTGGATTATTTATCATCAACCGTCGTAACGACCCAAGCGATAAAATGCGTGAGCGACTGTCCGTCCTTTCTCGGTCGGTAAAACAGTCGCGATATAAAACGAATTTACGATTTCGTTAATTCGACATTTTTCGTAAAAAAAAATTCTTTTACCCACAATTCACCTTTCGGAAGATGCATTGTTGTCTGAGGGAATCCTTAATTACGTGAAATTTTATTTAATTGCCCGTCCCATCCGAGTGGCATTGACGCGTCGGATTTTCAGGATCCCAATAGAAAGATTTTTTTATCGGCGGGTCTGCGAACACGGCAGACGACAATGAGTCCCGTTCGCACAGCCCAATATCTGATATACTTTAACGAAGCAAGTATCGTAACGCGATTGCGATCGGCAGCCACGTAGAAATTCGCCTTGATAATTGGAACATTCTCCAATTAGACGCTCGCCGTGTACGGTAAAAGAGGGGGGGGCCGGGGGGGAAGTCGGTAACCGTAAGTTGGGACCAGAACTTACTTTTGCCGTCGCTCGTGTACGAATTTCTACGTTGTGGACACAACGTCGAAATTCTCACAGCCACCGTGAGAACTCGCCTTTAACTTTTTTTTTTCCACAACGGCTAACATAATTCTCGCACTTTTCTCGCATCGGCGTCTTATCAGGTACGCCAGCTGCGTTTGCAAGGCAATTGCATTGTTACCAATAGTTTTGTATAATGCTGTGAGGCAACTGTTATTACAACTGCGGTGGATTTTACTTCTCTTTATTATTTTTCTTTGCCCCGTGGCTTCCCTGCCGAGAGAATTATGGAACGAAACTGACGACAATGATAATAATTAATGCGCGCGCTGTGGTATCGGTAGGATAATTCAACGGACGTCTCGATATCGATATTGACGTTTTATATACAGGGTGTCGTAATAATTCCTGCATGTTTAACGAGAAAAAAAAGAGGATAGGGGCAACTCGTCGAATGCAAGAAATCACGCCTGGTCTGATCTTCGTTAAATAATCGCGGAACGTGGATGATCGATGATTTTAAGAAATTTCTGACACGCGACGGGAACGTTGATCGATCAATTCGATCGATTTAATTTGATCGGGTTTTCGTGTCTATAGTCACTCTACCAAATACGTGCTCAACGCGCGGTATGATGTTTGCCTCGTCATTTTTATCGTACGAATGACCATTTCAAACTTCCTGTATATGGTGATTCGATTATGGTAGCGACTTTTGAATTAGCCTTTAGGATGCTTGTAGTATGGGAATCGATCGGTGCATGATGAAGCTCGTATTTGTTTATATCGATCATAATCATTATTACGTTATCGACTTTTTTTTTTAAATTATTGGTATCATTGACGAGTTTTGGTACGAAATTTGTGAATGCATCGTATTATTTTTTTTGCACTTTATTAAAATGTAGGACTTTATTAATTTGAAGGATTTTGTGAAAAATCGATCATTAACGATTTTAACGGTGTCAATAATAAAGTATCCACTTTGGGGAAAAAACAGTTGATAACTAATCAATACTAAACAGTTTCACTTATTGGAAACGTTTAATTCTCGATGTTCGATCGAAAATCGAAAATCGGTAAGAATCGATCGAGATCGTTAAGGAATTACCGATCTCGCTGTATCGGATATCGATATGCCTCGTGCACCAAAGTCATAAGCCGTATTTGTACGCGATAAGAATAACCGATCTCGATGTATTAGCAATCGATTGATCGAGGCGATCGGCAATCGATCGCACCGTGGGGCCGGGCAAGCAGTACGAGAGAAAGTGAACCAGTTGGCGCTGTTGCCGAATTCATTGCACATTGTCCGATGCAAGAGCCGGCAACTTTGCCTCGATTAAATCGAACCCTCGATTAAGCCAAGTGTGCAGCGAGCGACATTGGGCAATAACGAACGGGGCAGGACTTTCGACTTTTCGTAAATTACGTGATTATAATCTCCGAAAAAAGTTACCGATCTCTCGACGTATTCCGGAAATGGAGTTTAAACAGACCAAATTTCTGGATTCTTTAAGCTTCACGGTACGAGAGTCGTTATCTATTTTTAATAAATGACCCTATACCGATTTATCGTTCTCGATCCTTTGACCCTTGATTCTTTTTTCTTCATAAACGTTCTTAACGATTTCTTCCTTGCACCACGTGACTTCACGATTACTACTCTTTGATCGCTGTATCCTTCGCGTCGAGGACGATAAGACACAGCTGTTTACCGTCTCGATTTTTTCTGGGAATGAAGATTTCTCCTAGTCTGATCGGTTTGTTATATGAATCGAAAAAAACAAACCGGTAACTCTAAAGAAACATAATCCATTATAAAGATAATGTTTGTCCATTGTAATAGGAACTTGGCGAAACGATGAAGTAAGGGATCGAGGACGATCGTATCGATGAAATCGAATTCCGATCGGTTCGTCGTATCGAGCAATCCACGTGGACAGTTTGAAATTTCGAGGTCAACGGTTAGTCTGTAAAACAAATTTTTATCGGAAGTCAAGTTATTCTCGGAGCCGAGTCTTTTGCGTCGTCGGAGGACAATTTCATTCGTATTCGAGGTCAACGAATGCCAACGAATCGGAATATCCAATATTGTTGTTATAGTCTTGAAAGAGGCGTTTACCGAGCATCTAGGTGTCGAATAAAAAAAAAAATGGAAGTATCAGACACGTCACTTCCTTACTTCCGGGATGCTCCCTTTACGCCTTCCGTACCATCATCCTTCCGGCTGGCACGTGTCCCTGATGGTATTAAGGGGTGGCCAGGCGGCAGGAACTTAAGGGGTTGCTTACGTGACGCGCACCGAATCACGCTTCCCGTCGGTACGAAAATAGACTTGGATTTTCGCACCCCTCCTAAGGCTCCGCGTCGGCCAAATGAGTTCCGCCGGTAGGTGGTAGCGAGACCCTTGCCGTTGCTCCGATGGACGCCGAACAGCTGGAAGTCTCGTTCGCGAGAACCGAACTTGCGCGGATCTTGACTTGTCGCTGGGTGAACTGAAATCGTATCTAGAACTTCGGATTAGCATGTTAATCGTATTTCTGTATATTTGCTTCGAAGATAATTAATCAGTTATCGGGGCGTTGATATTGTTATATCGTTTCCGAGTGACGTCATCCGATATCGGTATAAACTTTTTTTCTTTGTTTTTCTATTTCCCACCACTTTCGATCATGTCTGGTACTAGGCTGTCGTATATCGAATATCGTTAACAGTCCCGTTTCCCGTCACGTAACTAGGAAGTGCCGTCTTTGAGGTAATTAGACTGAAACGCTCGCTGCACGCGGAAACTGAACCGCGACCCTGAATGACGTTTCGCGCGACGTATTACAGTGATTGTTGGCAAGCGCAGTCACTTTTATTGTACAGGAAGACAAGACACGGCTTCAGGCTTCGTCCCCGAGGGATCTGGGGGAAAAAAACGACGTGGGAATACGTAGAATCCAAAATGGAATATGTATTATTTACAAGTTGTAAAAAAAAAAAAAAAAGAATTGCAATACCTTTTAGCCATCTTGTACGAATTTGCGTCTGACTGAACGCGGACCTCAAAAGAATCGCATGTTCGGCGCGAAGTTCCTGCGCGAAGCTAAGGCGTTCAGTCAGTATCGTAAATCCGTCCAAGAGTTACGAAATTTCGATTACAAATATCACCCTTATTATGTATGCTATCCGTATGAACTTTTCCTTCCATCATTATTTTTGTTGCCTACCTCTATGACTTTTGCGTTCAACTGATTTTTCATGTCGTTTCAAGTGGCAAAGATATTTTTTTTTTTATTTCCGAACGGAAGTTAAACAATAACGATACGCGCGATCGATGGTCAATAAAGAAAAAATCGCAATAATCGTATACCGCAAACCGTTGATTTCAGTATTTTGAAACGTTATATAACTCGTATGACGTATAGATCATTATTCACGCGGGACCAACAACACCGTTCTTTTTGTCGCGACCATTCGTCTTCTCTGCTGTACGCATGTAGCGACGTCTCGTGCGATAATCTTTTTTTCATCCGTTTTCTTTCTCGCTTCAAGGAACCGTATACACATCGATATGGATCTCCGAACACGAGGAAGAGAGAAGATCGTTATTCAAATGGAGCGATAGTCGCCGGAGGTAGTTCAGTGGAAACCAGTTTAACGTTAAAAGCCATTTCCGAATAGTCGTCGGACTTGTTGGTCACCATGAATGATGGACGCAATGTTTATTATATGTACAAATGCGGTCTAGAGCATCTACCTACTCAATATATTCGTTTATATATATATATATATATATATATATATATATATATATATATTTGCACAGGGTATATTTGAGATATATATACACGGGTCGACGACACTCGACATTACCAGTTACTAACCTGCGCAAAAGTCCCTTCTCTCGATATTGAACCGCGTCCACAACGCGGCTGCATAAATCACTATATATTCGTATATATATATATATATATATATATATATATATATATATATATTTGCACAGGGTATATTTGAGATATATATACACGGGTCGACGACACTCGACATTACCAGTTACTAACCTGCGCAAAAGTCCCTTCTCTCGATATTGAACCGCGTCCACAACGCGGCTGCATAAATCACTCGAGTGCGCATAGATCGAATCGGTTCTTTTAGCCACGTTTATAACGAAGACCTTCTCTTCTGCCACAGTCGTCAACTCACCGGCCATCTTTTTTCTCTCTCCCGCTCGCTCTCTCCTATTGGCTTACCCACCACCCGTTTCAGTCTCTCCCTCGCAAACTTTCCCTTTTCAACTTATCGCCGCACGTGCCTACACGCAAAATCGCTACACATGCAAATCAGCCATTGCAGCCAGCATAAGGGGAAGAACCTCCTGACCGCCTGTGGTCGCGCCGTATGCGTGGGCGTAGCTCCGCTTGCACGCATTATGTAAATGGGAAATC